GCGGTACAGAAAAATTCCTTCCTTGGTACAAGACTCGACACCATAACGAACCAAATAGCGAAAAAAGTAGAACAATAGCTCTTAAGATAAAAAACTAGTAGCGTCGCAAAGTTAGCGGACGGACGGACGGACGGACAAAGTGGCCACAATAGCGCATTTTTTTTTATTTTTGTGGAAATGCGCTAAAAATAAGCTTTAAAAATTTCACTTGATCCACGTGTTGCCATCTATTATAAGTTTTGCACATCTAGTTAACTAAGTCTAACCAAAGAGTAACGGTACTCTTTGGTCTAACCCTTAAACTTAGACCATATAGTACATGGACTGCTAATTGTAACTAAAATATGGTCAAGGACATCGCCATCATACGTGTGTTGTGCTTTTAATGTACTCGTCTTTGTATAAATCTTGTAATTGAAAAGAAAAAGGGTAACCAATGGCAATTCACAACATAGTCACGGAGACATTTCTGAAAAGTGATGTCTAACGGCGTTTTGTGATACAAACTGGCAACAGGCGGTCCTAGACTAATTCGACCCCGCTGAAAACGATGCGGCCTGTTGCCAAACCCCATTTTGGTATTTAAGCCCCCAAATCCAAGATGGCGGCCGAAATTGCCGTTTTTCGGTTATTCTTATTTCGATCCCCTAAGGCACGCCGCTGAACGTTTTGGGTACTTTACGCGTAGAATAACATCTGGTACACCCGACGACACCGTTTAAGTACACTTTGGTATGCATATTAAGTGCCAAAATGACGCTTAAAAACGTTAAAAATGCAAAATTCGTCACTTTTCGTCCTTTTTTTTCTTGCTGGCCTGGTGCCGGCATCCAATATTTCTTCTAATATGTGGGGATCTCCCGCAGCGCCATATGCCAGGAGCCTAAATACCAATATGGCGCCTGGAAAGTCCAAAAACAGGGAAAAAGTCGTTTTTTTGTCGTAGAAGCCAAGTTGGTTTTTTGGCGGCGTAATATGCGGGCAATATGGGTAAGTAAAAATATATGAAAACATACTTCCCAAGTTTTCTTTGATTTGTTTAAAACGTAACTTTTGGCAGTCGGAACTGTTTAGAATATTGAACACTAATATTATGCAAAATGAAAATCTTTATGGAAATGATTTTTGCGTTTTACCCGCCACCATATACTCTCTTTTTTCGGAGCTTGTTCACGTTGCACTGAGTTACTTGAAATCTGTAAGATACAGTACAAATGGTACCTCTTAACGCCAGACCTGAGACCAGCATTAGCGAGGCAGTTGCCATGGTCCGTTTTTATCCCAGCTGTTTGGAGGAAACGATGCTTTGACAAAGATTGATGACGTGACCCAAGGAAAGGGTGAAATTGCTACTTATTTTTAGTCAGTTATTTGAACACCGCCTGTGAAGATTCGCGGCGCCTTACTTCTGCAACGGAGTGTGGATGGCGAATCCAGAATGATGCAATGAAGCCAATTTTGATGTCACTTGAATCCATTCTCGTGCGTACGTTCTCTTCGTGTCTTGTGGCTGCAGGGGAGGCTGCAAAACAAGACCCTACAAGTGTCGGTGGACACTTGACGAAGATGGAGAACCTCTTCCATGCAATCAGAGGTGCGGTTGTAGTGCAAATTACTACAATGGCAGCGAAAGTAACATTATTTTATCTGACATTAAAAGCGATAGGTAACGGCCCGGACGATGACTTTTAATATTATTGTTTTCCCTGATATGGAGGAAGTCACAAAGTTAAACTGCAACTTTCTCATTCGTTAAACCGTTTTACAGTTTGCATAATATCATTTTGCATAATATTAGTGTTCAATATTCTAAACAGTTTCGACTGCCAAGCCAAGAGTTATTGGTATTTAGGCACCAGGCATATGGCGCTGTTGGAGGTGTCTAGGTACATACTTAAATGTTAAGTTTACCATAGAAATAAATATCGGGCGTTGAAAACAGATCAAAAAGAAAACAAGATGAAACATGACGCATTTTTGCATTTTTGACGTTTTTAAGCGACATGTTTGCATTTAGGCCCCTATTATTTATACGAAAGTGTGCCTAAACGGTGTCGTCGTGTGTACTAGATGTTATTCTATTTCTACCCGTAAAGTATACCCAAAATGTTCAATGACGTACCTACCTTGGGGGCTCGAAATAACCGAAAAGCGGCAATTTCAATCGCCCTCTTGGATTGAAGGGGTTAAATGCCAAAATCAGGTCTGGCAACATGGCGCATCGTTTTCAGCGGGGTCGAAATTAGTCTAAAACCGCCTGTAGCCAGTTTGTAGCACAAAACGCCGTTAGACTTGATTTAGAGAGCCTTTTTCAGAAATGTCTCCCTGACTAACAGTAAATGATTTAATAAACAAAGTAGCAAATAAGTACTTATTCCTACAATAATTTAATTATTGTTATAAACATTTGCAGTGATTTTGCAATTAGTGGAAGGCTCAATTGAAATACCAGAAACTCCAGGGTTACTTTCATTACTAACTGTATTACTCAAACACCGATTCGAAACTTCGTAGGAATGATGTAGTTATGTGGGATCCACCGCATGGGCCTGTCGCAGAAATTAAAGTTTGTGCTACCTGTATCTTGTTGGAGAACATAACCTTCCGTAAATGCCGAAGATCTAAATCCACTATATACCTTTTGACAGAGAAAAAAATCGGCACCTTTATTAGCCAACAATCCCTTTGGGAGTAGCTTTTAAAATATCCACATTATATTTAATGTCAAGGCGCAATTTGAACATGCCGTGTATTGACCATAATGACCTTGTAGTCACTAATGTTTTGAAAATAAGCCAATAAACAGTTTTTCGTGTAATTTTTGACCTTATTAGCTTTACACCATTCCATGAAAGCATTATATGCACGAACTTATAAATTAAGATGGACTGCTGATCAAACAGTTGCATAGAGGTAGAAATAACTCTAGCATGGGTGCGGCCATGATGTGACCCTTTTAGTTATTTTCTAGGGGAATTCTCCTAGTGCTCAAGTTTTGAGACTATTGCAGCCTTGGAAAATGATATGTGTCAGGTGTCACAGTAATTTATTTAGAAAACGTGAGGTTAATGCTTGTTTATTAGTTGATTTGAATTTCGCGCCAAGTGAGTGCACATCATGGCTGCCCCCATGGTACAATAAGACAAGGTATGCCTATAACTAAACGGAGATGACGTTTTTATTCCAATGACGTCACAAGAATCACCGCCAAGTTTGAAAATGACATACGCTTCATACTTGAATTAGAAGTGCCATTGCAATTACTCAATTAGTGTGTAATAATGATGGATAAATAACTTTGGTGGCAATCCTCGGAAGTGTCATGTGTAATAGGATGTGCTCCAAAGTGTTTCTTAATTAATATTGGTTACAAAGTTACATTGGCTACGCGCATTTTCTATTCATGTGTGCATAATTATAATTATAATAATTATAATTATAATTATACTATAGGCACATTTTATGTCTCGTTTTGCATCTCTGTAAGTTTTCTGCTTCAACAAAAAGTGGGTTTTGAAACTGGATTTATAATTGATTGTAAAATCACACAATGCACATTGCACAAACCTGGAATTCTTGTGTGCATTAACATATGCCTTTTTAAACTGTATTTATTAGTTGCATAGTCACACTGCATCTCGGAATGCATTTAGAAATAAATATCAGGCAATAGAGAAGCTAAACGTACCACTTAATCTACTTATTTCAGAAATTTAATCAGCCTTTTAAGTTTTTTTATTGCCGCTAGAGGTATCGTCCTTATTTGAAAACGCTAATATAATTTTTACTTTTTTTACTTACATATTTTATTGTAACTTTAAATATTTGTATTGCGATAACATGCAATAATTGATACTTTGTAAGTTTAATGTGAGAAACTTGACGCATTTGACATGGATTGAACAAATCTTATCACATCCGTAACGGGGATAGACTTTTATTAACTGGTAGGACTACACAAAACCCCTTTACTTTATTGAACGATATAGCCCAGTTATCCCAATGACGTCACGCATAGGCATACCTTGTCTTATTGTACCATGGCTGCCCCCATGTAGGTGTCATTTGTCAATTCAGTATTAGCAGTCCATCTTAATTTATAAGTTCGTGATTATATGGCTTTTTCATATCTGGCCGCCGATTTTGCAGGTAGTAAGCTGCTAACTGCTGCAACATGCAGTAGCACGAACCTCTGGGGGTGTGCAGTTTATCAAGTTCTCATCAGAAGACAATTTTTATGTGAAAATGCACAAAAAGATTATCGAAACCAGAAGTTTTGAACAATAAATTGACATTTTAAATTTCTAGATTTCTACTTTATCGGCATAGAGGACTTGATTTTTTCAAAAGAATTATAATGTCGCAAAAATCTCGCGGAAATGATTTGAATTTCCATTTAACTAATTCGTGCAAAAAATAGAATACACGTTACGTGCGTGAACAGTATTTGCTGTATTCGAGCGATATGCGTCGCTCGTGCGCTTTGCGCACTCGCGCCGCCAAACTTCGCGCTCATCTGCAAAATAACTGTTCCCGCACTAACAATGTAAATAACTATTTCCCATGTTAATTCACTATGTTCGATTTGGGAATATTCACCCGGTATGTTACATCTTTAATATGTGAAAGAGAATCGCATTTTAGATATCCGATGTGCATCAAAGAGGGTTTCTTGAATATACAGGGCAACACTTCGGAAGCGTATGCAAATCATCTACAATATTTTGAAGGGTCATATTTTCTTTCTTTTTCTTCAGATGACATATTATACAACATCTCGAAAACGTGGGCATACTGTCACATCGTAGCTATATTATCTTCAATATTATAAAGATCATACATTGGGCATTTGTCTTGTACACAAACATAGACAAGGCAATGCTTACTTTACGTAAGTGATACAGTGCGTCGCATTCATATTGACGGAAACAAGAACATTGCATTGCACATTTAAATAGTTTGTATGTTTAAACAAAAATGCTATCTAATAGCCAACTTACTTTGTGTAATTATTTTGTAGTTTAGAACAGCTGCTATTGCTACGTCCCCATCGATGGCCACCGCGGTCTTCGACTGAAACAAAGTGCGTCAGATTGGTATGGTCCCTTTAGGCACGCTGAATACGGTAGAGTATGGATTCCCTATTCCCTATTGGAGCATAAGCGCAAAGTAAATAAGTTTATAATCGTTACAGAGGGCGTTTAGGGTTAAGCTATCGTACTTTCGCTAATGAAATTTTATGATGTTTTCTTGTAAAAATCACGATCGCGCCTATTTCACTAAAAACGCAGAAAGAGCAGAAGACTAATGTTTCATTAAAACTCCTTGGTACCATGTGCCCCTTTCACATTTAGGATCAATAAGCGTTTTCATGTCTTCTAGATTTTTCGAGAACGTTTATATTGTTTGCTTTATTAGCAAATTAAATTGTATTGGTAATTAGGCTTAGTATTCATTCGATGCCGAAGTGATAAACAGTGAAATCCGCGCTCAGATTGTAAGTGTTATTAATTTGAGTAAAATTGCTCCTTAGTTAGTGTCTTCTGAACATGTATAATTTAATTTTATATAAATAAATCACGTTAATTAAATGTACATTACAATAACGCGTTTTACGCAAAATTGAAATAAAATACAGGGTGTAGGTCATTCTGATATCTCTTAAAACTCTAGAGCTATTTACTGGGTTTGACAATTTTACGCATCTGTATAAGATGAAAATGAAATAATACTTTACAAGTCTTTTTATCCGTCTAAGAAGTAATACATACACATTTTTCACATAACAGTTTCAGTTATCTTTTCTATATTGTAAAACCTTTCATTAAGGAGTATAAATAATCAAAGGATGAGATTAATGAATCTATAACGGTTGCTTAAAAAGATAACTAAAACGGTAATACAGTTAGAACTCGGGATGTTTCTTACCATACGTTCTTTTTCCGGTATTGTTATATACGAGAAAATTGATGTCCATACAGGAGGGCGATCTGGTACATCTATAACTTGTATAATTATGCTCGTTGTATATGTATTTCCTCCGGAATCCTAAAAACCCCATTATTAAATAAAAAATTAATAGATGCAGTTAAGCCAAAGTATTTCACGTTCTAATGCAAGTAGCCTAAAATTTGAATATAAAATTAGGAAGAAGTCTTAAGTCAAAGGTCTAAGCCTGTACTTTCGCGTGGGTCTCTAAAAGTACCTTGAGCGATAGATGGAGCTACGAAATGAACGTGAAAAGTACCTTTGGATTTATATGCGCGCTTTCCGCCGAAGGCAGTCACTGCTCTTCCTTATTACAGAGCGTTTTATGTGTAGGACAAAGATACGCTGAACTCTCCCACTTGCACTCATTGATTTGTTACCGTACTCTTATGTTGATAATAGGCGCGCGTACATAATTGAAAACGCTGCAAATACCAATTTAGACACAGAAAATTTCATAGAACAAAAAGTGTAGACAATTAAATTTACTATAAAAAAGTCCGCGACGGCATATATCTATCTTTAATCGTTTAGCCTTACCAACCATTTAAAGTTGTACCTAGTGTCCTCGTTGGTTTCAATAATATCTTTGTGAAAGTTTGAACGCTTATCATATATTCATGGTTAAAGATACATATATGCTGTCGCGGACTTTTTTGTAGGAAATTAAATTCTCTACAATTTATGTTTTCTGAGTTTTTCTGTACGAAGTTTCGTTTTCACAGCGTTTGAAAGTAAATGTGGGTACCTTTCGTTTTGTGACTGAATCTAAAATTCAAAGGTTGTGAGCAATTTTATGGTAGGTACGCTTCAATGTTTTCCTACCACTATGTTATTTCTCTATTCGATAGGGTTTTGTGTGCTATTCAAGTTTTATAAGGGGTGTCCTGTGCCTAAACCCCCTTGTTTTTAGGTTATTCAATTTTTTCACAAAACAATAATGAATTACATGTTTATAAACAGGATCGAGTAAGCCGTGATAATAGAAACCAAAATAATTCCAGTAGCAAGTGTCACAAGTAAATTATCTGCTGCAATTAATGTGCTCTCTATTTCGTAGTAAAATAAGATTAATTAAAAAGGCGAATTTCGAACTAGTCTTTTTAAAAAATCTTATTTTACTAGGAAATAATGAGTACACTTGCAGCAAACAATTAATTTATGGCACTTATTGTTTACTATTTGGCATTCTTTGGTTTTTTATTATCACGGTTTACTCCTGTTTATAAACATGTAATTCATTAATGTGTAACTGTTTAGTGAAAAATATTGAATAACTTAAAAACTACGGGGTTCAGGCACAGGATATCCCTTCTAAGAATTGACGAGCGCATACAACAGACCATCGAATAGAGAAACAGAATAGTGGTAGTTCCATTTGAATAAAAATAGTTATAGCACTTTGAAATCTAGAAATTTTACAATTTTTTTGTAAACACTCTGTATCATTAAATTCAACTTTCTCATTACCTGTTATTCAGATTGAAATTATTGATTTCTATTTCTTAACTTTAAAATCAAGGTCGCTACGATTTATCAAAGCGGGGCTGGTTTATAGAGAATTATTCGAAAAAAAATTAATAATTTCGCCTGCAGAGGTTAAAAAATGACATCGAATTAGCTAAAAATAAACAGGCTGTTCCATTTAAAAAAATCAGCTGTTTATTGACACCGTAAACATGAGACACTCTGTACATTCATAAATAATTTCTGTATATGCATAACATTCTATAGTTGACATTTGCACAAAAGATTTTTTGCTATTTTTTTACCAGGTATGAACTAGGAAAGACCGACGCAGTGTTATAGGACCCTGTATAATTGTTATAAAACGTAAAAAACGAAGAAAGAATGGGAAAATTTCGTCTTTTTTGCATTTGACTTCAATTATCTGGTTATCTATTGCTCTGAGAGAAAATGAAGAAAAATGAATTTGTTTAGAATCGAATTTTCTATAAGATACAATTGGTATGGAACATTCATTTACAAAAGTTATAGTTTTTTTTATGGAAAGATATAAAAAAAGTAATCCCGAAAATTAACAATCTATTACTAAGCAAAATTCATCCTATCTTTTATATTATCCGTAGCTTGATAACGGAACAATACGGCAACCGATCACCCGATCACCGTAGGTCTCATAGTCATTGATTAATTAAAAATACAAATTAAAAAATCCATGCTTTGTATTTCAAAGTGGGTGTGGGTGTCTCCTTCAGATTCTCCCCCAATTCTTTCCGCTAGTGGAACCCTAAGCAAATCGTTTCCAACAATTGTCCCGATGATTCTTGCAAATCGACGGACTGTCAAATTGTTTTTTCAAAATCCGAAGACTTTTGCTAGTTAACAAATGAAATAATTTCCGAAATATAACAAGAAATGTGACGACTGACTCCCTAATAGGCGAACAGAACCTCTCGGAAAATGTACCTACATAAAAAAATACGTCGAAATCCGCCCGTCAATTTGCAAAAATCATCGGGACAACTTTTGGAAAAGGTTGCTTTGGGGTTCCACCATCTATATAAACATTTAGAACGCTATATGGGCGTTACCCAATTTGTTTGTTTATTTAATCAATGACTATGATACCTACGGTGATCGGGTTTGTCGTATTGTTTTGTTATCAAAAGAAGGGACCAAATTCGGATTTTCAAAAAGATCGGATGAATTTTATTCAGTAATAACAGATTGTTAATTTTCGGAAATGCGTTTTTTATATTTCTCCATAAAAAACAATAACAATTAAAAATGAACGTTCCATACTAAATGTATGTCATAGGACATAGACAATTCGATTCTAAACAAATTCACTTGAATACCCCACCAGAAAAAAAATGGAAAAGTTCATAAAAAATATCACTTCTCTTCATTTTTTCCCTCGGGGCGATAGTTAACGAGATAATTGCAGTCAAATGCGAAAAAAAACATTTTCCCATTTTTTCTTCATTTTTTCTGTATAACAATATATTTCGGGAGTTTCCGGCCAGGGGATTATGATTTTCAGATTCAGCGGATGTTTTTACATCACTTGGTTTTGTTGAGTAAAATGACATTCAGCCCAAACCGTACTTTTGATGAATTATAGGGTTTTGCGTCGCGCCCTTCTGATAGTGTATTATTAGTATGGGTAAAAATAACTATGTAAAAAATATAGCAAACGAGCTCTTGGGTATGGCTATAGTATGTGCAAAACCAAATTGAACCTGGTGTTAGATTTGCTTTTATTCCAAGTGGATATGTGTCAAATGTCATTTAAATACATTTATAAATTAAAAAAAGTTTGCAATTCGGTTCATAAATGGCCGAGATACCAAAAGAGCACTATGCATTTTGAATCGATTAGGCTCAACTTTTGCCATTGCGTTTATTATATTTTTCTAGTTGTAGGTACGATTAAAATATTTACCAATTTTGAATAAATATTATACTCCTACAAAGTAGGTACCTACGTACTTAAGTGTATAATGCTATCAACTCTATTTTGAATGTTTAAATAACTTACCCCGCCGGGATTTATAATAATCCCGGGCATCGCTGACGTCACTAGCGTGATGTCATAGTAAAACCGGGATTCGTATGAATACCGGAGCCGGGAGGCTAGTCACACCGATTATATTATTATAAAAGTGGGAGAGGTACACCTTACCTCTCCCTGGATTGCCACGGAACCACAAGTTCCCATTAAGTGATTAAGTTAGACCATTGAATTTATAAATTCAATAAATTCAATGGTTAGACTTCTTCCTAATTTTATATTCAAAGTCTAAACGAGTTGCGGTGCGGTACTGATATGGACATTTCATTCATCAAAAACAAAAGCTATTTAGTAGTTTAGTTAACCCCCCCCCCCCCACACCTCCGGTAATTAGCCAAGCCACGCTGAGATGCACTGTGGAAAAAGAAGAAAAGAACAGACAACTTCAACAAAAAAACTCCAAGGTTTCAGGTACATTCAGGCGTAGAATGCGTGGCGCCACGACGTTGCGTTGGTTGGAAAGTCAGCCGTGACTGGAACTCTCTATCATGTGCCTCCCGCACTTAACAGTATTGACGGGTTTCTTCCGCACTCAGGAGTCTGAGTTTCCTTCCCAAATCGTGTGACTAATATGTGTGGTATATGGAGAACATCCATGACACAACACATGGTGACAGCTTTGTGTTATATGACGTTATTGAATCATGTTTGTTTGTTAGATATACTGTACAGGTGGAGAAAGTGCACTGGATGCCATCTTAGGCATTAAAAGGACTTTTGATAACATTATGAGAAGTGTACAAAACAAAGGACTCCACGTGACAGTCTGCAGGCGGATTTCCTACATGTTAGAAAACAAAGTGTGAGAGGTGTGAGAGAAAGGAACTTTCGATAAATCCATTAAAGACCTAATTCATATCATTTATCAGGAAAAGAATCCCACGGAATGGATTTCTTTACAGTGCGCCTACGCACTATGAACCTGTACACGAATGGTTGGGAAAAAATTGGGACAAACCATTGGATATGGATTACGATGGCTTAATCCATAATTACATATGCGTCTTTAGTGTGGTGATAACGAGCCGAAACACAAAAAGGTCAGATCAGCTAAATAGAGTGCAAGGGTTAACCCGTTTTGGCATAACAGGGACGAGGTGGTCCACATCCCCTACTGAGGCCATGGGCGCCGCCAGGAAATTTTGTAGGAGGGGGCAAGCTCACCATTAATATGGACGTGAGTGGAGGGGGTATGCAAACTCAAGGTTACGTGCCAGTAACAAACTTATTGTGTTTCATTTTATTTAAACAAAAACATAACTCTTCTATTATCTGTTCCAAAGAGATCTATGCACTTCTCAAGTGAATACGCAACGCAAGGGAAACGATTACATGGCCCTTGCCCGTTGTGTTGCTTACGACAAGTGTTACCTTTTATTTTTCCCTTTTCCCAGGGGGGGGACCAAGGCCCCTCCTTGCCCCTATGTAGCGGCGCCCATGACTGAGGCTCTAGAGACCCTTTTAAAAATACTGTTTCTACACTTAGTATAGTAAAATCGTCAACAGGAGGAGCATACAGATT